CAGTCTCTTGGGGATACCATAAATACAAAATTACTTGCAAATAAGATAAATGACTTTTTTGTAAGTCTTGCAGACCATTTTACACCCTTGACCCTTGATTCTCCCCCAAGCCTGGTACCAAAGGAACTTTTCGTCTATAATGAGGAAGTGTTCCGATCCCTGTCGTCGCTTACTGTTGCAAAAGCTGTAGAACCCGACAACATCCCAAATAAACTGCTTAAGGACTTTGCACACGAACAAGCTTCCGTCAATCGAAACATCTTTAACCAGTCTCTCAAGGTGGGATACATTCCATCTCTTCTAAAATCTTCCATCGTCACCCCAATCCCAAAGGTAAACCCACCAAGAGAAATAAAGAGCGATCTCCACCTGACATCGCTCACGTGTACAGTGGCAAAAGTCGTGGTGGGATTCACGTACAGTTACATGGAAAAATCGGCCCGCGACAGTTTGCACGTAGAGGCCACTCGACAACAGATGCTCTTCTATTTATATTACAAGCCATTTACGAGGCAGTAGATTGTGCTGATCTAGGAGCCCTGGTCTTCTTCGCTGGCTTCTCAAAAGGCTTTGATCTAATAGGCCATAACATCTTAAATGGCTGAGTTGCGAAAACTAGTGGTTGATCCCGCGCTCATCAGTTGCATTGCGACATTCCTAACAGACAGAAAACAGGCTGTAAGAATAGGTACATTACTATCAGATGGGAAATTCATCAAGGGAGGTGTGCCTCAGGGAGCTAAATAACCTAGGAGTGATACTTTTCATAATAATGACAAACAAACTTTTTGCTGATTGGCATCTGAGAGTCAAGTTTGTGGATGACACGTCTGCCGTAGAGATATTGCCCTGGAACTCTATTATCCCGTTACATTAAATCTTTGATTTGCCAGTTGAGGAATGTATATACACAGAACAATTCACATAAGATGAAAACCAGGGAGGCATATGGAAAAAATCACCAGACAAAAGCTATTTTAAGCTGCTTTTATTTTAATTGCATGCGTGTCGTTTGAGGGATGCATGCGTACCTGAAATGAAGTTTATAAAGTCAATGAGCAATGTATTAAGAATAATACACCTTGGAAAGACCTCTACTGTTCCAAAGCACTCTTTTCATGAGAGATTTCAAGTCTCGCCTTGACAAACCTATTTGGTCGAAATACGATTCTTCTCTTGGTTTTCAACAATGAATGTATTACTTTATCTTCCATTTCAATTTCTTTTATTTTTTTTCGCGTAAACTCCTTTGTTACTGAACTAGGCATCTTGAGAAATGGTGTTAGACAAAAACTCAACAGCTCTGGGCCTTTAAGTTACTTCGTCTGTTACTGCGGAGAAATTTAATAAGGTATACACCTAATTGCAAAAAGGTCGTCAGAAACTGAGAAAATAGATATTAATTTCAAACTTCTTGGGTGTATCAGATGTTGTGTTTGGCGTTTTAAAGTGATTCCAAAAAGTAGAAAAAAAATTGAATGACTTTTTCTCCGATGGTCAACGAAGTTAACTTCGGTTTCCAAGGCTTTCTACCTTCAGATACCGGTATGTAAAGGTGTTTTGTCATGTGTAATGGGGATATGCGGGTGAGCAGTGTCAATTCAAAGTTTAGCCCTCACGAGTATGTCTTTGAGCGACCGCCCTCTTTTGTAAGATACGAGCGGCGGATTTTTGTATAGTTCGCTCAGTAGTGGTTGTGTTTCTATTAAATGCCAGTTTTTCATGAGAATTTGCTTTATGTGTGGCACTGAGTACGCACATCAGGGATTGCGTCTTTTTCGAATCGTTCGCCTTTGTAGATGTACAGCTATTTTTTTTACTGTCTCGATCGTTAAGTTGTCTGGATTGCTTTCAGCTTGCGCCACGCGCGCTGATTCGATCGTACTACAGTTCTTAGTGTTCAGTGTTCCAGCCGTTTTGGCTCGTTTTCTTTTCTTTATTTCGGTATTAAAACGACCGATTTCACGTTCATAGAAGCACATGATCGCCTTTACTGTTTCTTGCTCCGCGTTGTTAAGGATTTGCTTTATCTCATTTTTGAAATCCTCGTCTGCTCTTATTTTGGCCCTCGCCCTATATTGTAGGGATTCTGGGCATGTTCTGCTAGGCATTTGGTACAGAGGGATTTGTTCGTTATCCTCAGACTTGCCGATTAGATCATCTTCAGTGGCGGTGTCGTACGAGGCTTCCATGTTTTCTTCATTCTCTGAGTGGCATTGCTTTGGCCCGGAGCGTTTAGTAGCCCATCTGCCGTTATAATTTCTTTCGAAATTTTCTTTAGATGGTCAGGCAAGACCGCGGTTTCGATCCTAATCTTTTGGATCTCGTCAGTTGTCGATTAACTAAATAGACTGGTAGAGATTCGTTCTCGGTATCAGTCGGGAATTTTGCTCCCTATCCAGGCGAACGTCTCGCAAATAGCCAAGATGCCGATGTGGCCGCCAATGAATAAGACGAAGATTGTATTTTTCCCGAAATCCTCTTTTTCGGCCTCCCAACATGCGAGCCACACTCCATGCTTTTACCCTTCTTTCACAGAAGTACACAACCAGTGACGTCACAGGGCTGTTTTGGCCACGCCAAGATGGCCGCCAATTTTGATCTCAGCCGGTCAACTTCGAATTCTTAAAAATGTACTTTTCCGGTATGCGTTGGCCCAAAAAAAGTACACAGCGTTTGCAAATAACGTTCAAGCTCTATTATATTGCAAAAATTTCGGATATGAAAATTACGTTTCAGTAGCACTTTAAAGAAAAAAACTATGGGCGAATATCCGTACAGACACTTTACAATCTACCTTTAGTTTTACCGTGCAGTATTCCTTTTACGTGACATTCAAAAGATGAAATGATTCTGTGAGATTAGGGCTGAAACTATAGATATTAGCCTCTATAAGGATTGTTTTTTTGTCTCTAGAAATAAAAATGATGAACATGCTTGAAATAAGGTTAAGCTAACAATTTATTTGTTTGGTGTCAAATATTTTAAACAGTCGTTCCTTTGTTGTTGACCGCTATCTTTGTTAAACTGTTTTTAAGTTGCTCAGACAGCTTCTCTTTTTGTCTCGTAGAACAATTTTTTCATGATATTATTGTTGTGAAGATCTGTGTTGCTGTCACTTACACTCGAGAAAAGGGCTGAGTCGATATGTCAAAATCCATATTCTTAATCTTGTTTTGGAAATATCTCCGTATAAACACTTCATTGTAAAAAAAAGCTGCAGTACCAAAGTTCACCATTGTTTTCTTTATTCAAGAACTGTAAGCACAATGAGGCATGGGGCTGCACGGAAATCTTGCCCAAGTTTTCTCTTGCAACGTTAATAAATGTTCTTATGTTGGTAAACATAGAAGGCTGCGTTAAGCTGTAACCAGTTTCATGTGTGACAGGTGCCTTGCATACTGCTTACATCGGCGATTGCTAAAGCTTCGCTTCGATAAGAAGAATTAGAAAAATAAAGTAAACTTTCAATGTCTTCTGTGATAAGGTGTTATTGATTTTATCAAGAATCTCAAAGATGGGATTGAATTTTATATTGTCGGGCAGATAGACACATTTGCTAAGAAAGAATGAGTGTTACTCACGGATTTCTTTGGCTAAAGTTCCATATGGAACAGGTACCTGGGGAGTTTGGATAAGAGAGAATGTCCAACTAACAGTGAGTCTGTCGGTGATTAATTCAAAGTAACGGGACTAATTGTCTATTTTTGAAAGGATGTTTTTTATTACAAATCCTCGAGATAGTTGAATTGATCGAAATTAAATTTCCGCACAGCCCATTACTATTGTAAAACAAAGCCGCAGTACCAAAGGCAATCTATCGTTTTTAACATTATTTTCATAGTCCACAACTGTATGTATAACGAATTATAGGGCTCTGAACAAATCTTACGGCATTTCTGAAGTGTAAATTTTGTTTTGGCGATGAGAATATTTCTTCCAGATTTTATTCGGATTCACCCATCATCCAGAACGGTAAAAAGCTGAAGTATTAACAAACATTATAATTGGATAACTCAACTGTTTCTAGCCAATTCTTTGTTCCCTTAGAACATAGAGATACATTGCTTGATTTAATTTTCCAACTGCTTTGTTGCTATAGTCGCATGCCCAAATAAAATGTGTAGAAAATTCAAATTTTTTAGCCACCGCGATGTTGGTTTTGTTAATAGTTTGACAACTTGCTTATTTACAAAATGTTAGCAAAGAAAGGAGAATGAAATGTGTTTATAAAACTTGATATATTTTTCAATTGTCTCGACGAAAAAAACCCGTTGCTTCTGTGTAGATAGCCAATAGTCCCTTCAATTATTTTCAGGACGAGGACTGTGAATTTTCCGCGAGAGTATTTTTTTATGAACTTATTTAGAGTTCGTATTTGCCACTGACTTCAATTTTCAGAAAAATTCTTTCCTCTCCCAGTGTGATCCTGTGACGAGCTTTTTCACCAAGTTACGCAGACAGTTTATTCGTTCGATTGGCACCCTTTCGCATCACATTACCCTGTCCATGTTCGAGGAATATTTGATACTTTCATTCCATCTAATATCACAAGCTTTTAATTTTACATTTGTTTGCACAGCACTTGGTCTTAGCTCGTTTGCTCTGGTAAATTTTTCTCCTCATCTATTATTAACACCTTGAAATTGAATATGGAAAGACAGATTTACCTCTCATGTGTGAAAATGCAATTGTGAAGCTGAGAACTTTGGCAATATTGCTCTTGATTTACATCCAATTGATATGATTCCACTCTAAGACCCTCACCAATAGGTCTTTTAGACCAGTTCTGTTATTTTGTTTATCACACCTTTGCTGACCTTACTCCAACTGGCCTCTGAGGGATTCTTTTACAATTTCCAGCAAGTGGACAGGGGAAGGATAGAAGGCTACCAGAAATTCTGATGATTAACGTGAATCTTCGTCACTGAATTCTTCATAAAAATATTCTATAAGAATCAGTTGTCATCTCTTTCGCCGGGATAAAGAAATATCCAATCCGTCTTTGAAGTATTTTTATTATGACCTACTAGATACAGAAGTGCCAGTCACAATCACATGGTGATGATGTGCGATAAACCCGAAACTTGAGTCCTAACAAACAAGTTTGTGAGGGAGAAATAACACCTACTGCGAGAATTACGCTGAACAGTCTACTAGTAATTATTAGAAGTTTAAGCATTGGCAACAAAATCCCACAAGGTTTGAGACATGGTCTGTGAACATGGTGCCTGATCAGTACTAAATCATTTTTTATTTGGACTTGAACCTCTTTGCTCCACTTCTCTTCGCTTTCCGGCCAAGTACTTCATCTCGCATGGCGGGCATGATTCCCTTATTGAAGGCGAAGCTCAAAAGCTCATCGACATCTTTAATGTTGGGATATTCACGCATCGCCCACTTGAGGTAAACCAGGAATTCATTCCAGTCGATGTACCCGTCATTATCCATGTTGATAGCTTGTAAGGCCTGTCGTGTGTCAGTGCACTTGAAGCAGCCAAAGTAGGGAGACATGAAGCCGTTGTAGAAGGAGTTGAAGTTAAGTTGGTCGTCATTCAGTTTAGCTTCTTCTATATCCCACTCGTTCCATATACCACGAACCTCTTCAATGAGATGTTGGGCGTGCACACTCTTCACTTCGGCTCTTTCGATGACTTCTGACATCTTGGTCGTGCGTTTTCCTCCTGAACGATAAAACAACATAGCGATGCCAGCTGCACTCATGTATTCTTCCTTCTTGTTGCAATCCAGGTCTGTAATCATTTGTTTCTTCATTGCAGTAGCCATATCCTTTGTAAACTGCGGATCTTCATCAAACAAATCTTTCAGCCTTTCCAGTATCATATCCTCGGAGGCAAGCGTACTGATCCTCACCGGTGCGTCTTCTCCAAAGAACTCAGCAAGGTCAAAGTCGGTTTCTCCAACGGTTCCACCAGCTATGCTTCCAAAGTCAAATGCTAAGTCCAGTGCCCTGTCGCCATAGATGACTTGCTTGGGATGGGGTGGAAGGCCAGTGGTGATCTCAGTCACATTAGATGCAGCATCCCTTAGCTTGTTGCAATTGTAGCGTTTCAGGACCTTTCCGTTTCCCATTCGGACGAGGTTCATCAGTGTGATTGTAGAACATGCGTGGCCAAGAGCAGCTCCTTCCTCGCAGAGGCTTGCCCAGATACCGTTGGCTCCGTTGACAAGGCATTCAAGCTGCACCATTTCTCCAAGAGCCCACTTCTTGTGAACATGAGCCAAGAGGTGTCCAGAAGTCCACTCATGGGAATCCATGATCTTACGTACACCTTATTGATGTGACAAACACTCAGGTTAGTATGTAAAGGTTAACTTACATCGCCATATCCTCGTGATGATGCATAAGAAAGAACTGGTACGCAGACCTTAACTTTTGCCGCTAAAAAAAATCTTCATAGAATGTTTTTATTTCAAACCTACTATGCTCTTTAGATAATTTAAGAAATATATCATTACCAAGGACAATGAATAAGATAGAAAACAAAAAGAAACAACAACAACAACTCGAGCAACCATAGGAATGATTAATTGGAAACATTTTGTGGTGAATTGTCTTACTAAAAGTTTGTTTGATGCATAGTTGGTTTTACTGTCACCGTCGGATCTGAAAGAAATAAATCACCTACAGGAGTATCAATTACTTAGCTTCCAGGCTTACCAGCGGTCCAAGTTCCAACCTCCTCGGGCAAAAACTTGCCTGTTGACTCCTCAAACATGATTCCAAAAGGACGTTCAGCTACAGGCCTGGACGCAAGGTAGTCCACAACAGTAAACAACCGCTCCATTTCATAGACCATGGCGTCCGGAAAGTCCCGCAGATTTACAAGGATCTTGGCATCTGGGGACAGACATTCTCGGCTCCATTTGAATCTTTCGGTCAGCAGCTGGCACATGTCCTTCGTGGTAAACTTTTCCCAATCGATGCTCTCTGTGGCCAGATCTATCTCAATGATAGGATTGATCAATCCTTGGGTTTTCATCTTCGATAGACCCACTGGAATAGTTTTGGTGTCAGGAACACCTTGAGAGACCGGGTGGATCATGACCTCACTGAATGCAAATAGGTTGCTGAGGTCTTCTTTGCCTTCCTTACAATCACTGACGATCTGTTCGACCCATAAGTCGTCAACACGTGGCATATGGAAATAGGCCGCCACAATTTTGTACTGGAATCCACACTTTCTGACCTTATCGTAAATCTTGCGTTTGTTTTCTAGTGTGTGCCCACGGAGCTGACCCACAGTGCTCTCACGAAGTGAATTGTCCAGCACAATGAGATCCAGGTCTTTCAGTCTGGCTCGTTTCTTTTTCTCTTGTGCAATGTTATCATTAACTTCCTTTATGAGCTCTTCAAATGGCATGTTACGGCAGATCTAAATCTTATTAAAGAAAAAGATAACAAATATGATATATATAGACAGGTATAAACGAACGATATAAAATCCCGACGTTTCGGCGACTTCATGACGCCATTATCAAGGGTACAAATGAAAATAAAATTAAAAAATGCGAGTTCAAGAGTTACAACTAATTTGCATAGGGGAGGTAGCTACACAAATACTTTAGCACGGATAGAATCCGTTTGCACGTTCAAACTCGGTGTTACTTGTTTGATGTAAAGCATCTCGTTGACAAGACAATCGAATTTGTTCAAAGTTCTCAAGAAGTGCATGAACAAATTCGATTGTCTTGTCAACGAGATGCTTTACATCAAACAATTAACACCGAGTTTGAACGTGCAAACGGATTCTATCCGTGCTAAAGTATTTGTGTAGCTACCTCCCCTATGCAAATTAGTTGTAACTCTTGAACTCGCATTTGATAATTTTATTTTCATTTGTACCCTTGATAATGGCGTCATGAAGTCGCCGAAACGTCGGGATTTTATATCGTTCGTTTTTACCTGTCTATGTATTACTAAATCTTTGTTAATAATATGATATATACTCGTGATTAATCACTCAGCTTTTTGGCAGTCTTTGAATATTCTTCTAGACACAATGATAGCTGACCGGTATGAAGGTGCGCGAGGACGTTTAGTGAACTACGAAGAGGCGAATCCTTTGCCTAATTGGTGAAAACATACATCGAACTGCATAACAAGAATTTCATGTTTAAGCTTGTTTAAACTGTTGCGACTGGCAGGTGTAAGACCTGAACTCATATTGGATTATTTTGTTGACGTCGATCACATCTTTACCTTTGCTGTATTTTATGATAATGCTAGTTGATTAATCGTGAACGTTTTTTAGATGTTTATTCCTAAATTTGACTATGCATTCATTGGACTATGTGCCATAAAAGTGTGCAGTCAGTCAACCACATTACCTCTTCCGTTCCACTTCAACCAAAGCTGTATTTTAAGAGTCAAACTATTTGCAGGCCAGCCCTAGCGACGCAGCGGCCTATTCTTTACAATGATAGCGAGAAAAAGCCAAAACTTGTCGGATGTACTATCGGAGACAGGCGCAGTTGATTGCGTTTTTATATCCGGGATTCTTCTGATGACATCACGTAAAATGCACGTGGAAATCTAGTGATTTCAAGCACTAGCTGATCTCTGCTAGATCAAGGACACGATAAACGAGATCAGTTTTTAATATAGATGTATTTAATTGCTTGTGGAAGTATTGATCAAGTTCATGAAGGGTTTAGTGACGCCTCTCGAGGAAGACGAGAGATTTTTTGTGTTTGGCTGCTCTATTATTTAAGCTAATTTTTGCCGATTCGCGAATGGAGATGCCAAGGTATCGATCAAGTCCTCCTTCATGAAGATAATTTTTTTCTTTGTGCATTCAGCAACAGTGAAGTGTTAGGCAAAAATGCTTCCATCCGGAGTTAACTGCTGACTGCAGCTTGCAGGTCTCGGGAGAAAAGAGAGGAAGGTGTGAAGTCAACTTGCTTTATGTCGAAAGCGACTTCGGTACTACAGGCAAATCATTCACAGTATTCTTCGCTCGTTGAGGTGTAAACTTTGATCGTTGAGTCAAATTCTCTGCCCATTAAGGTAAACAATTCGACCATCGAGTTACATTTCCCGTCGAGGCGAAAGAGAAGTTTGCAATCAGAGATTCAAAATGTGGATCACTCGTTAAAGCTAACCATTCAACAAACTGTGGAACGCTCGTTGAAGCTTACCATTCAACCGCAAACTCAAATGACTGTTTGGGCTTTGAGACAAATTCTGAGTCGATTTCATCCGTTGAGAGCATCCATTCGACCGTCGGGTCCAATTGTTTATAAGCCTTCGAGTCAAAAGAAAACTTCTCGAGCACAACATTAAGTTGTCGTTTGCTGTTGTTGTTTCACAAAACACTTTAAAACTAAACTAGTTGGAAAAATCGTAATTTTCTCTTAAAAAATCACACCAACCCCTATTATACCGTTTATTTAAAATCGTATTATCAGTATTTTCTTCAAGCTCTTACGCCAGAACCCACTTTCTCATTGAAACTGCTAGTTTAATAGTTAATTCTGCCTCGTCATCATACACACTACGAAGTCACGTGAGAAAGCACCAGCCGCTCAAGTGGTCAGTGCACTTCCCGCCTTTGCTCGAGTCGGTCAACTCAAAACGACTAGAAGAAATATCTGGAAAGGCGCTGTGTAAGAACAGTTAAATTGAGAAATTTTCTCAATTTAGCCGTGAGGTACATTAGAAGGTGTCTACGTACCAGACTGGAAGCAAAAAGTCGTCAATAGAGCTGAAAATGACAGAATCTCAACTTGCTGAGAATGGCGCTACGCCAAGCAACGGCGAGTCGGCCATCGTCCCGGCCATTAGTTGCATGAGCGAGCTGCTAGTTTCTTCCATCACCTCACTGAAGTTTACCATGACTTAATCCCTCGGTCAGATGAAGGACACCATTGACCACCTCGCAATCGAGGAAGGTTCCTTTGAGGAAACTGCTGAAACTGAAGAACAGCTAGAAATAGCCGCCTACATGGACCTACGATCCACACAGCAGTCGGACAAAAACCAGCAATCTGGGTCCGCAGAGTCAAATAGTGGGGCGAAAAAGCCTACAAGTTCTCAAACAATTGAGCAGAGCATTAACACTCTAATAAATCAGAGCTCTGAATCTCAGCGTGATGTTCCTGATGGGGAAATTGACCAACTGTCAGACATTGTGAACGATCTCAAACTTGATCAAAAGAAGGCTCCTCCTATAAACGAGCAGATCGCCAAAATTGTCCATGGCTTAATGAGAGAAAAGCTTACGGACGAAGTTTTGACAGCGAGACAGTATCGCTATAATACGCCAGAAAACTGTGAATATCTCACCAGCACGAAGGTCAACCATCTCATTTGGGATAAACTTAAACCAGACACGAGGTCTGCTGATATCAAGTTGCAACGAATACAATCCAACCTTGTCAAAGGGCTCACTCCTGTAGTTTCTATGGCTGAGAAACTTGTGTAGGCACGGGATAAAATTCTCAAAGATGCCTTGGATGACCCTGAATTAATAAGAGCGGCCACTGATGCCATTGCTCTGATAGGTGCCGCTAATTTCGAGTTAAACATGCGGCGCCGGGAGAACATCAAGCCCGAGCTAAACGAAGACTACAAGCATTTGTGCTCCAGCTCGGTCCCATTCACAGACTTCTTGTTTGGCAATGATGCCGATTTGTCTAAACAACTGAAAGATCTCGCGGAAGCGACCAAGGTCAGCAAAAAGCTTAACCCCAAAGTGGAAGGCCACAAAAGCAATGGATACAGAGGTTACAAACACGCAAAGTCCAAAGGATTTGGCTACAAGTACCCCTCGCGGGGTCCAGGCACTCAGAGCAATAAACATTTAAACTGGAAAAGGCCCGGCCCCCCTTACAACAAAAAGGACGAGGGGAGAAGGCCAAACAAATAGGGCCAGAAAACCCCTTAAATGAGGTGAGCTATAGCACAAGTTATTTTCGAGCTGGTAGATTGCAACAATTTGTCCCAGCATGGAGAGATATAACTGACGACCCAGAAGTCTTAGATTGGGTTGAGCACTGTCATTTAGAGTTCGTAGATGATGTATCCCGAGTACAGGAACTGGGTTATAAGGTCATTAAATTCAATGATACCGAATCTGCTATTATAGATTCTGAGATTGTTAAACTCCTTAATAAAGGTGTAATTGTGGAGTCTCCTCACTCTCAGGGAGAATTTGTATCATCCATTTTCCTTAGACTCAAAAAGAATGGAGTGGACTACAGGATGATCCTAAATTTAAAGGAGTTAAACCAGTTCATTGTTTACCGGCACTTCAAAATGGACTCACTCAAGACAGTGACAGATCTAATGACCCAAGGATGTTTTATGGCATCTGTTGATATAAGAGATACATATTATACAGTGTCAATTGCCATAGAACATCAAAAATACTTGAAATTCATGTGGCGGGACGAATTGTATCGATATACCTGTCTCCCAAATGGGTTGGCATCTGCCCCTAGAATCTTTAATAAACTGTTAAAAGCAATGTTTAATGTGCTCAGGAAAAAAGGTTATTTGTCTTTCTCGTACATAGATGATTGCTACCTTCAAGGAGCCTCACGGGGAATGTAACAGTTATGAAAATGTACCAGAAACTGTTATGTTGCTCAGGAAACTTTCCTATTCATGAGGAAAAATCAGTGCTTGTACCACCCCAGGTCTTGACATGCCAGGGATTTGTACTTAACTCAATCACAATGACTGTGCAGCTTACTGACAGCCGAAAGGAGAAACTGAAAAATACCTGTCTCAACCTAGTTAACAAAGAGAACTCCACAGTCCAACAAGTGGCAGAGGTCATTGGGCTGCTAGTGTCAAGTTTTCCAGGTATAGAGCTTGGCCCTTTACACTATCGCAGTCTTGAACGAGATTAATCTAATGCCTCGAGGGAAAACAAAGGCAACTTTGGGTCTTCATTGACCCTCTCCCTCAGTTCTAGAGCAGAACTTAATTGGTGGATAACTAATGTGGACACCTCATACAAACTTATTTCCCATGGTGAACCAGAACTCCTCATTCAAACTGATGCCTCTACCCATGGCTAGGGAGGTGTGAGGGGAGACCAGACAACAGAGGAGAGGTGAAACCAACAGGAAGCACCCCATCCCATTAACTATCTAGAATTATTGGCTGTACTCTTAACATTAAAAAATACATGTGGAGAAAGTGCTTATTTGCACATTCGGGTTCAATGTCATAATACCACCGCAGTTTGTTATATCAACAATATGGGTGGCTCAAAGTCCCACGACTGTAACTCAGTCACAAAACACATCTGGGATTATTGGGTTCAACATAACATCTGGTTAAGTGCCTCACATCTGCCAGGATGTGAAAACGCTGAGGCAGATAGAGAATCTAGGCACTTTAATGACCATACTGAATGGAAATTAGAGT